ATGTAATGATTATTGTTTTAACTAAATTATGAAATAGATTTCAGATGGTAACAATATTCAATTCAATTAAAATCATTTTATTGACCATTTATTAAAGTATAGTATATGAAAACGCAACAAAAATATATATATATATAGTGGTTTCTAGGTATATACAATATGATAAAATTATATATAAATATATATTCAAATTTATGAACTGCGCAGGGGTATTCAAGATTTCAAGTGAATGATAATGTGTGTATTATTCGTTTATTTCTTCGTGTTTCTCTTCAATCCTCTTGGTATTTTTTATTCAAACTCTGGAAGCTGCAAGAAAAATTCAAAAAGAATGAAGCACATACTAAATTCCATTGTTTCAATTACAAGATCATGTTGCAATCATGAATATATCACCGTAAATGGAAGAAAGAGAATATAGCAGAAAGATATTTTGTAAGTGGAAAGATAGCAAAACAATAATACTTAGGCCTATGATAAACCGATTCACGAACTAAAATATATAGGGCCTAGGCATATTAATTTTTTTCGTTTTCGCAACTCCTTCGGCGCTCCATATATTTGTTCGAAATATACCGCGACCGAAACGAAGCGCGACCGAAACAAAGCGCGACCGAAACGAAGCGCGACCGAAATGATCGGCTACCGGCGAGGCTTTGGCGGTGTAGGCCTAGGCCTAGTAGGAGGAATGCAACACACCCTCTATCTTATGTGGAGACTGCCTCAAATTTTCAAGTCCCAAAGATGGTGTCAAATTGGAGGGCGAAATATGAAAAAATAATTAGAAAAACAAAATACAGAAAAACTAGCTAGGGGCTAGGCTAGGTAGGCCTAGGCCCAGGGGCCTAGGTTTCGGCATCTACTAGGCCTAGACCCAAAGTCACTTCGGCGCCAGTGAACTGGGGGACTAGCCTAGCCTCCTAGACTAACCTAGCCTCAGTGAACTTGGCCCCGAGTCCACTTAGGGTCAACTATAGGCCCAGAGAAAGAAGATCTGAGTCAACTCGGCCGCATAACGAATTTGCCTCACGTCAACCCGGCTCCAAGAGTCAACTCGGCCCCAAAAGAACTTTTGTGCTCAACAGTGCTCAAAAACTTTTTCGTAGAGTTTGTTCAAAATACTTTGTTGAGTTTGTACTTAAACAGGGTTAACATATCAACGGATAGGCCTAAGTCCCAATCAATTACTCCAAATATCTCAATATGATTGGCTTTAGCTATTACTGAGACCTGATATATATATATATATATATATATATATATATATATAGTTGTACGAAAATTCCTGGGAGGGTACTTGTCTGGGTTGAGAATGATGTGACAAGAAGAGTCATGTGGGTTCAGCCCAAGGATGTAATAAATAATTTTTCAAACAGAATTAAGTCGTGTCTGCGCATGGCATGACCCTTTGGTCAGACTTTAGCCGTGGTGATTTATGCTAAAGGTCAGTAGGCCTATTACAAGCAAAGATAATAAAAGGAGAATGATCGAGCTGAACCAGGTAATAGTTAAACAACATCTGGGTTAATATTTAGTCCGTCAAGCCCACAGTGGCCCTTGCTTATTATTATAATATTCACTGATCAGGTTTGTTGTTCCCTGTTATTTTCTCCACTCCGTCAAAATAGTCCCCCACTTGTAGAAAGGTGACCGTTCAACCAGTTTAATGCAAACAGCAAGAAAAGCTTATTCGCTTGCTATAGAAGTTCTTTGTTATAATTATGAAATTATTTAAAAGATATTTCTTAATTGTTTTCTAGTTGAAGTGTCAGAATTGCCAGGAAGAAAGCAAGTCCTTTGTTTACATATCGCTTCTGGTAAGTCAGATTAATGTTTACAAAAAGGTGATAATTAAATGTGGAACTACAAAAGATATCAGTGCACACACAATACACACTGTACACCTAATGTTTCTGACATAGATCCTACCCAGCGTGACCGCTCACAATTTTGGAAATACCCAATGACTGAGTCGAAATTACCCAAGATTCACAAAAATTGCCCAAAGTTACCGAAGCTTCCTGAAAGTGCATTAAAATTTGAAAAAATATGTGTTTTTCGCATGTATAATTTTCCCTTTTAGTTCAATTTATAAACCAATTTTTATTGTAATTGTTTGTGTTAATTATTAAAATGAATATTCATGAGGTGATCAAGTTTTGTAATTATTATGTAATGCATTAATTAGGTAAGATCAATGACAATGCAAATCACAAATAAACAATTCTGAACCCATGTTTATAGCAATTAACAGTCAATTAACAATGTTATGCGCACTTTGTTGAGTTTTTCTTACTTGATTGGACTGAAATATAATTTGTATGACAAAAATATTTAATTTTCTTAGTAAAAATAAAATACCCGAGGATTTGAACAGAATACCCAAGAACCCAAGACCAAGTAAAAATACCCAAGATCTTGGGTAAATACCCAAGCAGTGGTCACGCTGATCCTACCTCCAATATTTCTGATCTATAGAATTGTTAATTAGTTCCGTTGACGCAAGTTTTGCATTTATAACCCTCTAAAATAAATATAAATAATGTTTGCTGCCCTCTACCCAGCGGGCACAACTTGGTTGAAATAACGTTGTTTCAACGTAATATGCAAACATTGAGTCTACGTTTAATTTTTGTTGTATATGAAAGTTTGCATCAACGTAAAACTCAACGTTGATTCAATGTAAAATGTCTAAGGTTCTTTCAACGCTAATTTTTCAATGTTGGAACAACGTCAAATGACCAATGTTGAATCAACGTTAAATTTTGGTTGTATATGAAAGTTTTCATCAACGTAAATTTCAACGTTGATTCAACGTCAAATGTCTAAAGTTGTTGCAACGTTAATGTTTAACGTTAAAATAACATAAAATGATCAATGTTGAATCAGCGTTGAGTTTTGGTTGAATATGAAAGTTTTCATCAACGTAAATTTCAATGTTGATTCAACGTAAAATGTCTAAAGCTGTTTCAACATCAATTATTTAACGTCATAATAACGTCAAATGATCAATGTTGAATCAACGTTGAATTTTGGTTGTGAATGGAAGTTTTCATCAACGTAAATTTCAACGTCGATTCAATGTAGTATGTTCAATGTTAATTCAATGTCAAATGTTCAATGTTGAGTCAATGTCAATGTTTAATCCTTTAAACGTACAAAAGACACCGAGTTTAAAATATACTTGACCATTTTTCTTTAATTGAAACTTGCATAAAAACATTAAATATTATGCATCGTAGCTAAATACAGGCATGTTTAAATCAGAGTTTTTGTAGTATAACAACAGCTACTATGTCTAGATTTCAAAATATACCTATGCATTACTGTCGTCTTAACTGACCTAATATTCGACACTTAGCTTAATTAAGAATCTTTCGCGTTACAGGATTCGGTTTAAATCAGTAACTTTCTTGGTGATAAATAGCAGCTATTGAATAACTTACCCTCTATAATTAATACCGAAGCGACGTCCATACGCTCCTTTAAAATCCAATTTTAAACATTTTTATTTACACAAGCCTTTAGTCAATAACATGGGTGTGGTTAGTGTTATTGGAAAATTCAAAATGTGCTTTTTCTATGTATTTTAACTACTGTATTTTAAGTGTAAAATGTGTTTTAATTTAATTTGTGATGCGCCTTTGAACAATTTTTATTGAAAGAAACGCAATATAAATGAAATATATATTATTATTATATTATTATTATGTTTGAATGTTTTATTCCATGTATAGTATTGATCTATAGTATTTCGATTCCTATAAAAATCTGCACTAAAACCAGTATATGTTTTAAAAGTTGTCTTTAATTAAAGGGAACATTTTCATTCAGTTCGGTCTGCTATAACCATTCATCTTTGGATTCAAATAGAATCCCTATGATTTAAGACCGGCACTAAATGTGGTCTTTATTTATTCTTAATAAAGGATTTCTTTGGAATCTTCGTCCCTGTTTAATAATAACAATGCAATAAAACTATTAAAGTCAAAAAAATAACTTGCCACCGGCGCTAGGAGAAAAAAAACAGCAGCAGAAGAATCCCATGAACTGATTAGTGAAAATTACAACAAAAAAAAAGAAAAAAAGATAGGTTTTAAGTTGAGTAAAAAATAACTGAGGACAAGTGATATTATGAAGATCAGCAGGGATCGAATTCCAAAGTGAAGGAGTTGAGAAAAAAGAAAGATCGCTCGCCAGAATCTACATGTCTGACACGTGGAACACGTAGCATGGTGCAATAAGAAGAAAGGGTTGGCCGAGAAGCAGTGTGGAGGAAAGATACGAAGGTGTAAGGCCATTGATGGAATTGAAAGTGAGAAGGAGGATCTTGAACCTTAGTCTTTGGCAGGAAGGAAACCAATGCAGGTTTTTTAGAATCTGGGTGATATGAGAAAATTTCCTAGCCATAGTGAAAACACGGGCGGCAGAGTTCTGAAGAAGCTAAAGAGCAAAAATCAATTTTAAATGTAATAAATGCATGTACTAATGTGACAGTAGTAGAAGATGTAAGATAGAGCTTAATGTAACTAATTCATCGAAGATGGATATAACCAGATTTGCAGATAGACGTAATGTAGTTGGAAAAAATCCAAATGCTTGTCATAAATGACTCCAAGATTTCGAAACATTATCAGAGGGGCTTAGTATAGTATTATTGCAGTTAATTTGAATATTAGAGACAGGAACAGATCGACTCTTTGGAGAAATAACAATAAGTTCAGTCTTACTAGAGTTAAGTTTAAGTTTCATGAGTCGGGATCACTCAGAAATTGATGTTAAACAGGATTCAAACAAGGAAATGGTCTACTTGATGTCATCATAATTACTTCTTTCCAAAGCTGGCCATCATCAGCAAAAAAATGGAAATTTAAATTAAAATAGGTAATAACACGTGCGAGCCCAGAAGTATAGCAAATAAAAAGTAGGGGACCCAAAACGCTCCCCTGTGGCACACTACCCAGTGGGCACAACTTGGTTGAAATAACGTTAATTCAACGTAATATGCAAACATTGAGTCTACGTTTAATTTTTGTTGTATATGAAAGTTTGCATCAACGTAAAACTCAACGTTGATTCAACGTAAAATGTCTAAGGTTCTTTCAAATATGCTAATTTTTCAACGTTGGAACAACGTCAAATGACCAATGTTGAATCAACGTTAAATTTTGGTTGTATATGAAAGTTTCCATCAACGTAAATTTCAACGTTGATTCAACGTCAAATGTCTAAAGTTGTTGCAACGTTAACGTTTAACGGTAAAACAACGTCAAATGATCAATGTTGAATCAGCGTTGAGTTTTGGTTGAATATGAAAGTTTTCTTCAATGTTGATTCAACGTAAAATGTCTAAAGCTGTTTCAACATCAATTATTTAACGTCATAATAACGTCAAATGATCAATGTTGAATCAACGTTGAATTTTGGTTGTGAATGAAAGTTTTCATCAACGTAAATTTCAACGTCGATTTAATGTAGTATGTTCAATGTTAATTCAATGTCAAATGTTCAATGTTGAGTCAATGTCAATGTTTAATCCTTTAAACGTACAAAAGACACTGAGTTTAAAATATACTTGACCATTTTTCTTTAATTGAAACTTGCATAAAAACATTAAATATTATGCATCGTAGCTATACAGGCATGTTTAAATCAGAGTTTTTGCAATAAATAACAACAGCTACAATGTCTAGATTTCAAAATATACCTATGCATTACTGTCGTCTTAACTGACCTAATATTCGACACTTAGCTTAATTAAGAATCTTTCGCGTTACAGGATTCGGTTTAAATCAGTAACTTTCTTGGTGATAAATGATTTGAAGCTCTGTTATCCTTAGCCAGGTCTTTTCTTGTCTGACCAGAGGTATTGTGGAGCAAGGCATCCAAGAACCTTTGTAAAAGATAAAAACGAAACAAGGAAGACTGAAATATTGTTTTAAAGTTGGTATGGTAAATTTTAAAAAGGTAAATACTTGAATACCATGTAGATAGTTAAGTTTAAGGCACATCTTTCAATAGATTGGGGTTTTTTTTCAAAGATTTAAATACATTTTTCTTTAAGGGCAATTCAGACACCATCATACTACGAAGTTATGTGCCATTTATCTTTGGAGAATATTCATGTTAAGATAATAATACTTACGATTAGACTGTCCCCAATTAATTTAAACTTATTAATTGCCTTCGTACGACTATAATAGTTATACAACGACGATTAAGACAAATGCTGTTTACTGTTTGTATGACATTTAGGTACCCAAGACTTTAATTAAGAAACAAATGGTTATTACTGTGACACAGTAGGGTAGTCACTTATTGCTGTGGGATAGTGGTATTAGCAAATGTGCAGTATATTCTTGTAAAATTTAACAATAAAAATTATATACCTTTTTACTGCTTCATCAAGGCTGCTCTTCCATCAGTTTCGTACCAAGAGACAAATACATACACATTCAATAGTCAGTTTTTTCCCAGTACCTACCAACCACAATTGCAACAAACATGGCTTCCTTTTAATGGATTGAAAACCTGAAAAAATACCATATTATTTATAGTTAGGCCTATGCACGCAACTAAATTAGACCTAAGGCCATATCTATTTTCATATTTCAATTATTCATTACACTAACCGTAGCCTCAAATGTTATTATCAAAAGATATTTTGTTAATTTTTCTCTTTATTGAAAGAAAATATAAAAATTTACATTTAATTAACATCATTTAAAATATAAAAATGATTACTGATGACATGATGTGGATATTATACCACTGGCAGTATGTCTAGGCCTATGATATGAGATGAATTATTAAACACACATAATACTATCAATAGCTGTTTTGTTTTTGCACTTGGTCTATACAACCACATTTTAACAATATATTTAATTTAATATAGGCCTAGACCTATTATATAGAATTTCAACACAGGACGTGGCCATTTTGCAAAGTTAGTTCTAGGCCTAGGCGATTAAAAATTACCGCTAATAATTCAAACTTAGCCCACACATCCAACTTGCAGTCTAGCCTAAATAAGTAAATAATTATGCTAAGTATGCTCTTACACTACCCTACAGTACTCTAGTCTAGGCCTAGTCTCTTACCTAGCTACAACTACTACTACTACTAGGCTAGGGCCAGAGGGCCTGGCTGGCCTATCCTAGCTAGAACAAAAGATAACCAAATAAATAAAGCAAGCCTATACAGTTACGATAGTGGGCTAGCCTAGATACACCCTATTGTATACAAATATAAAATTCTTACCATTTATTTGACAATGCTGAAATTTGTAGTATGTAAACTGTGTATGTATGAAGCCAACATACAGCAACTCATACCATCTTTGCTGATACTTCAAAAAATGACCATTTGTTTCTGATTGGTCTGTACCTAATGACCTAATCCGATTAGCCCATTACTTGCCACACTTTCAAGGACAGAGAACCATGTAATGTATACCTTATAATGATTAAAGATAATATGCTCCCATAATATGAGTTTTCTATACCCTAACATGGAGGTAAATTTTAATAAATCTTGTACAATTATTTATATAAAACTTCATATCAAGTTGAGGTTGAGTTAAAGAAATTTAAACTTGGTTGAAAAAAATAACATTCTAAATGTTGATTATACGTTAAAATACAAACTACATTTTAATTTGACATTGAAAAGATGTTGAACTAATGTAATTGTTAATGAAATTTTAATATCTCAACCAATTTTCAATATTTATTTATTGTTGAAACAATGGTGAGTAAATAATGGGTGATTTGTAGAAACACAACACATTTTCAACGATGATTAACATTGAAATAAATGCTAGGCATATATTTAAATTTAGCGTTGGAAAAATGTTGAATAAACATTGCAATTGTTATGTTAAAATGTCAACCAGATATCAAAGTGAATTCAATGTTAAAATAAAGTTGAGTAAAAAACTATATATTTTAAACATTTATTTAACGTTGAGAAAACGTTAAATAAACAATAGGTCTTTGGTTGAAAACATAACACATCTTCAACGTTGATTCTACATTGAAATGCAAACTATAATTTAACTTGATGTTGTGAAAATCTTGAACTTGTTACTGTAACATTAAAATCTCAACATATTTTCAACTTTTATTTAACATACAAAAAATTTTGAATAAACTATAGGTTTTTGGCAGAAAAACAACATAGTTTAAACGTTGAGTATATGTTGAGATACAAACTGTATTTTAACATTACATTAAAAAGATGTTGAACTAATGTTGTTAATGTAATTTCAATATCTAAACCATTTTCAACGTTTATTTATTGTTGAAATAACGTTGAGTAAGTAATGGATACATTGTAAAAATACACAACACATTTTCAATGTTGATTCTACATTGAAATAAAAATTATGTTTAGAGTTAACGTGGGAAAAATGTAGAATAAACATTGTAATTGTTATGTTAAAATCTCAACTAGATTTCAAAGTGAATTCAATGTTGAAATAAAGTTGTATAAAAAACTATATTTTAACTTCACATTGAAAAAACATTGAAATTATGTTCATACTGTAACTTTAAAATCTCACATATTTGCAACGTGTATTTAACGTTAAAAAAACGTTCGATAAACAATAGAAGATTGGTTGAAAAACGTAACACATTTTCAACGTTGATTCTACATTGAAATGCAAACTATATTTTAACTTGACGTTGAAAAGATGTTGAACTTACGTAGTTACTGTAACATTAAAATCTCAACATATTTTCAACGTTTATATAACGTAGAAAAAATGTTGAATAAACAATAGGTTTTTGGTTGAAAATGTAACACATTTTCAACGTTGATTTGAAATTGAAATGCAAATTATATTTTAACCTGACGTTGAAAAGATGTTGAACTTACGTAGTTACTGTAACATTAAAATCTCTACATATTTTCAACGTATATTTAACGTAGAAAAAATATGGAATAAACAATAGGTTTTTGGTTGAAAAACGTAACACATTTTCAACATTGATTCGAAATTGAAATGCAAACTATATTTTAACTTGACGTTGAAAAGATGTTGAACTTACGTAGTTACTGTAACATTAAAATCTCAACATATTTTCAACGTTTATTTAACGTAGAAAAAATGTTGAATAAACAATAGGTTTTTGGTTGAAAAACGTAACACATTTTCAACGTTGATTCGAAATTGAAATGCAAACTATATTTTAACCTGACGTTGAAAAGATGTTGAACTTACGAAGTTATTGTAACATTAAAATCTCAACATATTTTCAACGTTTATTTAACGTAGAAAAAATGTTGAATAAACAATAGGTTTTTGGTTGAAAAACGTAACACATTTTCAACGTTGATTCTACATTGAAATGCAAACTATATTTTAACTTGACGTTTAAAAGATGTTGAATACTTGTTGGTACTGTAAGTGTTACATTTTCAACCAAATTTCAACATTAATTCAACGTTGAATTAACGTTAAATTATCAACCGCGACTTTGGTTAAATACACAACATATTTTCAACGTTGATTCAATGTTGAGTATATGTTGCCAACATGATTTCAACGTTTCAACTACATTTCAACGTTGATTCAACGTTGAATTAACGTTGTGTGCCTGCTGGGTAGAGTTAATGGCCATTCTCAAACTTTTATTGGCAATGAAGTTGAACATTCGGATTATATTTTAATATTTTAGCAATCATGTTCATGATAACATCTATACTTTTTTTCTAATTTAAATTTATTATTTCTGTTATGTCTATTCAGAATGTACAAAAAATAAATTAAAAAAATGAGGAAGGGTTTTGGGGCGTTCCAGGAGCTCATTCCACTGTTTTTTTAGTTTTAGGCATCTTTTTGGCTGGTGCTGGTGGAGTGAGCGCCTCTTTAGCTACCTCCTGGTTTCGTCATTGGGTTTTAAAAGCTTTTTTTATTGCTTACTTAATAATAATTTTTTTAAATAGTTTATTTAATATTTAATATCAATTTGAATTTGAAAAAACTTTTTATTATAATTATGGTAATCGTTGTAATTCCTAGATTATTTATTTACAGTATTATCTATAAAGATTAATTGATGTCTTTTAAACTATTTCAGGAATGTCATCCCTTGAAAGGAGGTCGCGGTTCAGCAAGTTTGGTTTCAAAATGCAAATTATGTAGCAGAGAAAATTCAATAGGTAAGAAATAGAAATACAAATAGTTATGATAAATTGTTTCTGAAACATTATTTACAAACGAAAAGAAATATGTTGCCAGATTAAAAAACATCAATAAGAAATTTGTTACAAATTACTAACATGAAAAATTTTAAGTTTAAGGGTAGAAAAAAAAGAAGTGTAAGTGATTAATATGAAATATAGCCTCCCATGTGAAAAAAAACTCATTTCTTGCATATCTTTTTTATTCTGATTGCAATTTTAAAATATGATTTCAATGCATTATTGAGAACACATTTAAATCATGTGGGTAGCTATTAAATTTGACTTCAAATCTTTTATATCCCACTTTTTATTCTTCAGCTATGTATTTTTAGAGTTTTTTTTTAATGATATTGCATATTTTTCTTTGTGTAACATCTCCTGCATTTCAAATTTTAGCTGCGAGATGGAGATAAGGATATGAAAACTAAATAAATATAAGTTTTAGGATTTTAAAGAAAATGCTATTTCTTTATTATTGTTTGCTATTGTTATGTTATATGAAATAGAAAGGGGAACTAATTAATCCTTAATGAATAAAGCTTGTAAATTTAAAGGTGGATATTACAAAGGTTTAAAGGAAAGTAAAAAATCTGTTATGAATTACAGTAATTTGGTGATTGATAACTACAGTAGTCAGAAGAACGCTTTAAATTTTTTTTAAAATTTAGATTTCTTAATAATGGGTAGGCAAGTTTTGTATTATTTTTTTTTTTCTTTTAGGATTTCATTTGACTTTAAATTATGTATGAGAGACATCTTTGAATTTTAATAAATGACATATGTTTCTGTAGATATTTTGAAAGACACAATAAAATCCTATGACATTGAGGATAACAACCAGATGAAAACAATTGTAGGGTTTGAGTGCCGAGGAATGGAACCTGTTGATTTCTCACCCAGGGTAAGAACATCATAGCTAGGTTCACATTCAGAGTTTATCATGATCCAGTTGATCATGATCAAGCCAGTAATTTTATGTCAGCCTACAAGAATCAAATAACGTGCTCAGCTTAATCAACTTATTGTGATCCAGTGGGGCATGTTGATGCATCATGATTAACCTTGGTTAACATGATAAATTAATTCATGAGATCAAATTCAACCAACCAGCCTTAAATTTATTAAACAGGTCCCAACCTTCTTGTTTGTGCTTCTGGTAGTTTTCATGCAACATTGCATGCATTGCATAAATGGTTCATGATGATGGTTTCTATATGAACGGTTTTCTTTAATATGCTAAAGTTATAATGATGGATAGATAATGATAACTTTATCACAAAAACTTAAGTGAACGTGCCTACTGTGTGTGCACTGAACCGTGGAGATCTCCAGATCCCTGGTTTCCATTGCTGCTCTCCTTGTGTTTCAGCTGGAGGGCTGAAATGCAAGTTACAATAGAGCACCATCTTTCAGATGAGATGTTTAAGCCTTTGGTCCTGTGTGCATTATGGCCCATGTACACGTTAAAAAATGCAGTATAGTCTTCGGAAAAGCGTTGGGGATTGTCTCCCAGTTTACTGCCCAATCACCACCAGAAGAACCCCACTGGAAATTTTGTTGGTTATCCTTGGTGTTTATACCAAATAAATCCATCCATCCAATACCTTTGAAACAGTGTTGGTAGATCTGCGGACAGGGGTGGCTCCAGAAATTTGCTGAGTTGGGAGGGAGGGTGGGTGCATGTTACTGTTTAATTTGACAGGTGCCTAGATGCATTTAACAGATTGAGTGATGGAAGGACTAATGCAATCTGTTTTATGTTACAGGGGCTGTGGGCACCACTTGTGGTGTTATGGCGTACTGTTGTTGATGCAACCCCAGGGCCATTTTGTACCAATAAAATAAATGAAATGAAATGAAATCGAAATCATTATACAGTATGCAATCTTCATTAATCACTTAATACAGCTCCTATATTTTGTTTAGGTTGGGTTTGTTTGCTCTGGTGTTGAATCATCATCAACCTTCCAAGTGGACTTGACGGAAAAGGTGATGGAATTTTCAAATACAGTATGGAAATAGATTTTCAAATTTGATAATGAATATTAATATGTCCTTATATATGTTACTATGGTTTATATTAAGCAAATAATACTAATCAATATTGTATTTGTATTGTTATTTCAGGAATGGGTAGACTATGACGAGAATGCACAGGAGTCTGTTGGTGTATACGAAGTGGAATGGAACTTTGTCAAATTATAGATTTTAGTATTAAAATAACATAGCAAAATTATAAATTTGTGAACAAGATTTATGTATCATATAATATAATGGCTAAAGCTGTTAAATCTGAACTTATGTAGAATGTTGTCCTTCTCAACAATTTGTAATAAAATAGCGAAAGACTGAATGTAGTGCCTTGATAAATAGAACTTTATTTCTGCTGAGATTAAAAAAAGAATACTGTACACAGGAAACACCACACAGCAGCAATTCTTATATAAAAAATATTTGTGGTTACTGTTAGCTTTATTTGGGCAAATTCAGAATTTTTTATCACTACATTGTTTTGTCGGAACAGTTTATTTTATTTAGTTATATAATTTATTTAAAAGCAGTTCTGCTAATCATATCTGCCCACAAGTATTCAGCTTTTATAATGAATTTGTTAACTTTAGATACCTAAAGATTATGAATAGTAGCAAGAACGTATTGTTGCAATCAGAATTCGAACAAAAAACCTTCAGATATCATGACATAGTCAAGTCAGTATTTTCCTATTAAGATTCAGGTTTTCAGGTTGTTACTGCGAAGTATTTGTTGTATTAAATTCTGTGTGGAGAAGAACCTTTATTCATGTCATACCAACTAGGTAATACAGTACATATTTTGGAGTAAAAACCTATCTTTTAAGTATAAATAAAGTAGGTATTTTTTATCGGTCAACATTAACCAAACCATGAAATATGATTGGACTCAACAGTATGGCTAGGCCTGGCCTGTGCCTAAAACTATTGTAACACGTTATATCGTCATTGCTCACTTATAAAATCCGCATACGCTATAAAACTAAAAGAAAATGCATACTTTTGTAGTCCGTACCAAGTGCAAAAAATCCGCAATGAAAATATAACGTGTTTTGTATTCAATGACAAAGGAACTTTGCTGGCTTAACAAGGTTTGTACAAGTTCAAAGTACATGGGATTGCAACAGTAATTAGACAAAAATAAACTTTTTCATTCGAGCCTGACCGACCAAAATTTTATAAATGTAGGGTCAGCTTTTTAAACAATGTTTTTTTTTTCCATTATGGAGGACCTAAGACGACTTTTTAAGCTTCAATTGTTAATTTTGATACCTCTCGCATTAAATACTTTTTCTCTGAATATCAATTTCACACACTCTACTTCCTGTTCTTTTACTACAAAACTTCCCCTTTTCCGGGTCATGTTTTGCAACTTGAGTAGAATTGTACAATGTGTAAACAACACACTCTTCTTTTTTACACCTCGCTGTCAATGTTCCACCTGTCTTTTTGAAACTTATGACACATCACCTTTCCTGCCTATTCCAACCCATACGTCTCTTTTCTCGTAATTAGAAAATAAAACAAAAGTATTGTAAACTT